GCCATTGTTGATTTCCCAAAACCTGCGACCGTCAATGACCTACGCCGTTTCCTTGGACTGATGAACTATTATCGCAAGTCTATCAAGGGGGCTGCGAAACTCCAGGCCCCGCTAACCAATTTTTTGAGTGACGCCAAAAAGAAAGACAAACGCCCGATCCCTTGGACAGGAGAGGCCGAGGAAGCTCTAGAGGCTTGCAAGCGTGGCATCATAGAGGCCGTAAGAATTCCATTTTTGGCACCAAACTCGCCTTTGATGCTTAAGACGGATGCGTCTGACACGGCAATTGGTGCAGCCGTTGAACAACTTCAGGACGGAGAGTGGTTACCAATAGCCTTCTTTTCGAGAAAACTTAGCCAGACAGAAACTCGCTATAGCACCTATGACAGGGAGTTGCTGGCAATATTTGCCTCCATCAAATTCTTCCGCTATATACTTGAAGGTAGGTCTTTTGTCATTCAAACGGACCACAAACCGCTGACCTACGCATTTTTACAACGCGCTGATAAAGCCTCCCCGCGACAGCTCAGACAATTAGACTACATTTCGCAATTCACGACTGAAATTATTTACACTAAGGGAGAAGAAAATGTAGTAGCCGACGCGCTTTCTCGAATTAATGTAATAAATATGCCCACAAAGCTAGATGCCGAAACAATAGCCAACGCTCAACGGAACGATGACCAGTTAGCCGATCTGCTGGAAAACACGTCGCTTACCTTACAGAAACTGACAATTGATGGTCACACTATACTGTGCGACGTTTCCAGTGGCCGCATTCGTCCATTTATTCCGTCCAACCTCAGGCAGGAAGCCTTTAAAACCGTTCACGATTCATCTCACCCAAGTGGCAGATCTACGGTCAAACAAATCAGAGAGAGGTACGTCTGGCCAGGAATTAAAAAGGACACTCTTCTCTGGGCTAGGCAATGCATAGCCTGCCAACGTTCGAAAGTACATCGCCATAACCGCACTATCCCAATGCACATCGACGTACCAGATAATCGCTTCGATCATGTTCATCTTGACTTGATCGAACTACCGACCGTCGGAGGCCTACGTTACTGTTTAACCATGATAGATCGTTTCAGTAGATGGCCTGCTGCTGTTCCTCTCGCTAACATATCCGCCGACACTGTAGCTTCAGCTTTTTACAACCAATGGGTTTGTCAATATGGAACTCCGCTCACAATCACCACAGATCAAGGGACCCAATTTGAATCCGCACTTTTCAGGGCCCTTGCCAAGTTAATTGGAGCAAACAGAATTCATACGTCGCCTTATCATCCGCAAGCAAATGGCTTAATTGAACGCTGGCACCGTGCGCTAAAAGCTGCTCTAATGTGTAATTCTCAAACGCCGTGGCCAGACCTTCTGCCAACCGCTCTCCTGGGACTGCGTACAGCTTATAAAGAAGACCTCAAGGCTTCTCCAGCGGAGATGCTATTCGGTGCCCCATTACGTATACCGGGCGAATTTTTTATTTCGGAGGAAACCGAAGCGGACCCACAGTTCTTTTTAGAAAAATTTCGAGAACACATTCGAACCTTAAGACCCACCCCGACAGCCCACCACACGAAGTCCAGACTGTTCATTCTAAAGGACCTGAATACCTGCAGCCACGTCTTCAGAAAAATCGAGGCTGTTAGAAAGCCTCTTGAACACCCCTATTCAGGCCCGCATGAGATCATCAAGCGTCTAAACGACAAAGTATTTATCATCCGCATTAAGGGGGAGGATAAAGCAATTTCTACCAGTCTACTGAAGCCCGCCTACATTACCAAGACTGATGACAACTCCAACCGATCAGACGAGCAAATCACTCCGCAGATCAACCCCACCACGGATATCGACAGGCCAACGAGAACATACGCCCGTGCCAAGAAGGTTTCGTTCCTTACTCCTTCGCAACCTCCTTCGCCGTCTTCTTCGCAGCCTCCTTCGCCGTCTTCTTCGCAAGCTCCCTCGCAAGTCACTGGAGGGGGAGTGGATGTGGCGGTTCCTGCTCCACCTGATCCGGTAACGACTCTGCCGCTAGCCCCGAGAGGGCGTGTGAGTCGCCGAAAACAGCTGTTGACAGTTCGTACTGAATGTTAGAAAAAAGAAGATCCGAAGTCAACTGTCATCTGTCAACCAGAGCCAAAAAGAACCGCTCAATGCTCAACTCATGATTTTTCTTGTTTATTCCAATAATAATTACGTGTTTTTCTTGTGGATACAACAATAAAGTTTGTACATCGTTAAAAGCAGTTTTATGGGACCCCTGTAAACCCATATAATTAACTTAATGACGCCATCTGGTGATCGAAGATCAAAGTAAGAGAAGTGTTTTGTGTAGAGAACTTCTCGATTTGCAGAACCCACTGAAACTGAAATGCTTTTCTTTCAATATTTGTGTTACTTCTTACGAAGGACTTTGGATTATTAGGAGACCAGAACTGCCCAAGGAAATCATATCTCAATAGAATGTGGATATGTTGAATAACTTCAAAGAAACAACACCAAGGAAACAAGGAACAGGGACAAATAACAAAGAATTATCTTTTTTGTTTTATAAATTACCTCTGGTTTTGAATGTTTTCGTGCATTTAAAACTTAAATTAAGCCAATTCATGCCATTGTTTATGCAATAATAAACTAACTTATCATATTTAATACATTTTATGACAGTTCTTCTACACCGGTACTTACCATTTACCATTTATAAGTATACTCGTGGTGTAATTTGTGTTGCCTATATTAAATGGATAAACTAACCAATTTTTTATACAATAATACAATTTATTTAATAAATAATTCCTTAAAGAAAGTATTTAATAATATCCTTTTAAAACCGTTAGAAAAACAAAAAAAAATAATTACATTCTCTTATTGTACTATAATTGAATTACAGCTGAGAGTACAATATAGATGAAGATTTGAGTGGTAGAATGGGAGAGTAACTCTCTTATTTTCCACATGTTTTATACATAAATCGCGCTTATTATAGAAAAATCAAGCACAAGTTACCAATAATTTTTGTCACCTGTAACGAAAAATACGAAACATCCTGTATAATCCAATCAGTGACGTCGGTGAACAGGTAGAAATAGAAGTCACTATTCAGGTAGGACGTTTTACAAAAATAATTCGACCCTCTGAGGGTACACAATCGGTTGAGTTTTTCAGGCTCTTTTGTGAAAATTTACGTTTTTCGTAAGTCTTTACAAAGTATATTCACACAGAAATGACCAAGAGATTCGAAACACCTGCCTGAAGTTGCTATTGCAGGTATTTTAAACATTTACCTAAGTATAGATAATTTTCCTTCTACTTTTAATTTATGTGTATAACTAGGGAATTGATACATTATCATCTAAAATAATTTTAAATATTAAATATATATTATAATAATGTTGGATTTATCAAGCAAAATGAGTCTCATATTATGCATTAATTCATTACAATCACTACCACTGATAGTTAAAGTCATTATCGAAAAACTGTCATTACAAATATAGAGAAGTAAATAATGGATTTCATTATTTGTAACAAATTGCGTGCAGTTCCTTTTTTTTATTTTTATCGAAATTAATATCGTACAGGTAGGCTTCGAATTTTATTGTTTTTTTTTAATGAATTTTATATAAACTCTGTTACACGAATTACATAGGATGATAACAAAAAATAAAGGAGCATAAAACAGAGCGCGATATTTCATTATTTTTAATAGAATTCAATAAAATTGCATATTTCGATGAAATGAATTTGATGCGATTTAATTAGTGTTGAAATCTATGTTTATGAAATAACCTTACCTACACTACATCTTTTAGATAATCGAGTTGGTATTTATTTTGTTCATTTTTCTTATAATGAAGTAGATAATAAAAAAATAATTGGATGAAATAACATTTGGTTAAATAAGACAAAAAAATCCTAATTCTAAGCCAAGCGAATTTTCTTACAACGGTAATTTTTTTTCGAATTTTCTTTTACTATTTATATAATTGCACATTCGGACTAATCCTTGTACATATCTAGTTAGGTACTTAGTGAAAGCGAAGATCCATTTCACGCGTTTTTTACACACAAGGCACTTACACCACGTACTCGCCTTAATTCGTTACTATTAAATAATTCATATCGATCGGAGCCATTGCACAATCGCCTCAACTAGGACGTACTTTACGTTGCGTTACGTAACGTAACGTAATGCAAGACGTTAAATCCAGACCGTATGAAAATAATGCATTTTAACGATAGCACGTTCCAGTACTTTCACGTGGTGCTTTGGAAGTTTGGAGTAATAACTTACAACGTTATCTTACTGTTTTTTTACGTTTATTTTACGTAAATGTGTCGATTTAAGCGTAACGCCATTTTTACACAAGTACCTACTCTCTTTAATTTAATTATTATTTTATTCATAAAGGTTATGTGTATTGAATAGGTAGACTGTTAAGAATCGTTTTCTGTAAATAAATAACCTAATGGAATGTGTATAAATATAATTACAATGAACATTAAAAATTTCAACTGTAATGAAACTTTTGGGGTATATTAGAGGAAGTTATTAGGGTTTTGAGATATTTATCGATATTCGAAACAGTGTAATGAATTTTTAATTTTTCCCAATCTATTCACGATCTTTTGAACGAGATATTTGTACATTGTATATTCCGATATTATCCTATTGAAATGGCTAAAAAAATAATGACCATCATAATCATTAAAATGAACAAAATAAAACAAAAAAAAATTAAAGACATAAAGACCCATAGATTCTTTTATCTATAAAAAATGCCCAGAATACTTTACTCCTCTGCCATATCTTCCCACGCAAACCCAATCACCTGCACACCCGATAGACCTGAGCATCTTTCATTTTGTTTTACACCCTGTACATAGTATCTACCCTTAACAGGACCGTTTCTACCTCTCGACCTCGCACCCTCTTCACGACTTCTTGCCGTCTTCAGCGGAATCTCGACCGTTGAGTGCCCCTCATATCGCGTTATTATCACCGAGAGAGTAGCAGGCGATCGAAACAAGTGGGAAACGGTCCCATAGCAGGCTAGATGCTCGTCGAGGAAGGTACCTCGGTGCCTACTACGATTCTATTCGCGTTTACTTTGACTAGTAAGGTCTCCGGCTCGACGGTCATCCGGCGAAGAAGTTTTGGTATATACGGAGTGTTTGCGTTCCTTTTTTTTAATATCGGTGGATTTATTATGTTGACATAGAGAGGATTGTAAATTTCGACTTTTGGTGGGTTTGTGTGTGTTTTTCAAAATTTTGGATTTCGATTTTCTTGGATTTTATCGGGAGAAGTTTCATTCTAAAGGTAAGGGTAACTTAAGCTCTGTGATTGATAAAATTGGTTATTTTTTAATGAATTACCTACGGACGGTTATCACATAATAGATAAAGAGTGATGTGTTTAGAGTCGATTTTCTTGTGCATTTTCAGGAAAAGCTTTTTTATGTTGCGTTGTATCGGGAATATACAGGGTGGGTCAACAAAGCAAATTCCAATTATTTTTTAAAGAATTGCAGTTCATTTTTATTTTTAATTTGTCAAAAAATATAATTTGAGATAATGTCCTATGTCGTAGGTAGGTACTATTATAAAAATTTTCAATTAAAAAAAATAAATTAAAAAATTTTCGATCATAAAATTATTATTGCAAATATAAATTAATTGTTCTAATTCCAAATGTTACACAATTAACATAGAATATAAAGATAGCATAATTCAATTGAAAAAATAAAAATAAAATCGAAAAATGAGCTTTTTTCTTACTGCAATTTTTAAATATTATAAAGATTCACCCTGTACAAAATTAAATGAATTAATTTAACCTTAACCTAAACCACAACTTCGGCTTTTTATTATATTAATTAATAGCAATATTCAATCAATTAAATAAAATATTTTTTGAAATAAAATAAATATCTAATTATACGAAGAGCCCCATCGTCAAGTTGAATAAACTTGGCGTTCCGAGTGGCTTTAGATGCAGGAAACAACTCCAATTACGTCATTATTCACTAGCCAACGTTTATAAATTTAATTTATTAAATATGAGACAACGCGGTTTGTTCAATTGGTAAATTGCACTGTCTAAAATGTGGTCAAAACTATTTTGGACTCGGTTTAATTCTTTCGTGAAGATTTTCGTGAGTCACCCGGTTTTCGAGAAATAAAATTGGACATTATTCAATCCACCGACTAGAAAAACATTCACGTGGGTGTTTAGGTACTTTATATACAGGGCGAAATTCCTCACCAAGAAATTACCGAAATAAAAGAGAGAGTGTACTTAAAGCAAAGCTAACTTTTACTTATTGATAACGTGTAATAACAATGGTTCTCAAGAAAGCTAATTGCCCGCAATAGAATTAATTTTACTAATTTCGCACCATGGGAAGTTCTTTAACACTAAGTAACCGAGTTTGTGAATGATATCAAAAAAATATTATTATGTTCAAGAATAACTCGACCTATTTGTTTAATCGGAAGAGAGAACTACACAGATATCAAGTAACGTAATAAACAAATTTAAGTAGTTTGAAAAGTCTTTATTTAAAATTAATTCGAAATCTACTCCAATGTGAGTATTTGTTATAACGGATTTTTAGTGCTTCGATTATCATAAATTTGGGACATACGGTATAATTACATTTACCCTTATAGCAACTTATGAAGTAATGGTATATGTGACGTCATCGCTAACTTAATTTAAACATACTATACTCGATAAAAGATGCTTGACAAGTATACGAATAATAGTAATAAAAAATAAATAACTATGAAACTTTCACCTTAATCGTTACCTCTACCTACTGTTCGAAAATTCAAATTGACCCGTTTGACCCCTAAAAGCACAGAAAAATGTATTTATATTCTGCACTTCTTCCGAAGGAAAGTCAGCAGAAAAGTGTGTCGACATTATCATACACGCGAGTACATGGAGATAATCGATTTATACGAAATCGGCAATTCAATTCCACAAATTCGTAGATTAATCAATTAATATTGCATCCGGTTGTTGTTTATTGATCCTCCCGTTAAACTTTAACCCTACAAATCTATGGTAAACATTCTATATTTCTAATTTGTGTAACTAATTCAGTTTATTACAAAAGTAGCGAGAATTGCATTGTACGAAAAGCAAGATTTCTATACAATTATTATTCATTAATAGTCATTGAGCTTCTAGATGAGCGTTTTAATCATTGTAAATAAATAAGAGGTCATTCCACTGAAAAGTTTCAAACGAAAATATTTGCTCTGGAATCCTTTCCTGCTCTTATCAACGTTAGATAAATCGTCATTGAAGCTCAATTAAATTATAGCCAGTTGCATCAAATGAATGCTGTTAATATTGTTGAGATTATACATAGTATATTACGAGAGAATCATTTACATTCTATTCTGCAAGTTTTTTATTTTTAGTGTCTTTTATTAGAAATAGAAATTTTATTTTTTTTGACTTGCGAAAAGTCCGCCGAAGCGTCTCGAGTTGCCTAAAAAAATAACGACACTCGACCCGAACGTTTTTCCGTTAATTACGGATATCGATTGCGAAAGAAATCTATGCGAAATTCGCCGGCGGTTTTGTCGAAATTCGGCGACCTTTTCGATATTTAATAAGGTCGACGAAGAATCGTAATATCCTATGCAAAAGGGTGTTGCATAACGGTTGCGTAGATTAATTTCTCTTCGAGGTTTAAGGGTTGATTAATGCAGAGTGCTGTTGGCCTGAAGATCTCTCGGGAGGCACCGAAGAGACGGGGATGTAACATGAAATATTCGTTCATTATAACAGATTATGAAGCTTTTTTGTATAATTGAAGATACAGGAAAGTTTCCTGATTTGTGCTGGGGATTTTTCGATTACTTAACAAATAAAGTTTAAAAAACTTGCAAGGATACATGCAAGTTCTCTGTTTATAAAGAGATCATAATATAAATTGAGTACAACGTTGTTTTTTTAATGCACCATACGTTTATCTAATTAATTCTTGGCATGCATTATAAAATTAAGAAACATCCTTCGGTCGAGCGCGTTCGATAGTCCTTTTTCACGTCACATTGGGTCGTTGAAATTCGAAATCTAGGACATCGTTATTTTTTTGCTGTTTATCCAATTACATTATGCACACATGTAATAGTAATTATTTAAATTTATCGATTATTTTTTGTAATTTATAATTTTTTATTACGCGATGCTTCAAGCATGCTATTTATTTAAGCAAAATTTTTAAATCTTGTTTAAACGGAATGGTAATGTAGATTAATTTGTGCAATTTTAGTGTAGGAAATTTTCAAAAAATTATACACCTACATTAAGTAAGGTTAATAAAAATTAATTATTCACGATTCCCTTTTACTTTTCATGTTATCCACCGTTAGTTTTGCATTAAATAGTCGAACTCGAATTGGCTGCAAGTCACCTTGCAAAAGGCACCTTTCATTTATTTTTCAGTCGAAAAAAAATCGACTGGTCTTGTCCGTATATCGGCGACTTTAACATTGAATAATCCATTCATTGTTAATAATTTACACTTGGTACACGTACACCATTTATTAGAACCTATATCGGATTTATCCGGCGCAGTAGCGGATCCCGATTCCTCGAATGGTACTGTATAATTTTTTCCCGACCATCCTCAGCAGCCAGCAATTCGCCAAAGAGTGCACCTTGCACTCGTTAACGGTACCCCGCGTTAATGGTCGCAACGCAACGGCCTAACGAGCGACTTGTAGCATGTCGGGTACCATAAACGCCGGTACGATGGTCTCGAATAACCCAGATTTCGAGACCTACTGACTCGGAAGTCAGCGAGACTCGTTTCTGGCCCGGCGTCGGAGGAAAGTAAAAGCGAGAAGAAAGGCCATGCGGAAAAAAAAATTCGACCGGTCATTAATTACTGGAGGAATTCGAATTTTTGCACCGAAAAGCCTTCCGTAACTGCGGTATATCTTTCATAATATTGGATGATTAATTTATGTAGGTACGCTTTTAGTGGGGTGTTAGAGGGTGGATTAATGTTTGGAAAATCGTTTGAGATTTTCAAAAAATTTCATTTTTGTAGCATACCCCACGCCTACGCCACTTGATATTTTCCTAATTGTTTCTTCTCACGTAAATTACACCTATTATACATTTAAATTTCAATCATATTGCTCAAATGAACTTCCCAATTTCAATGATAAATTAATGATAATACTTATACACAAATTTTTGAGGGCACCTATACTTTTTTTTATACTTTGAGGTTGTATACAAATTGAGGTGAAAGTATACGTAATTATGGAACAAACTCTATGCAAATAGAGCTACTTAAGCTATACTCCTAATTAATTTTTTGTACCCTAACAATTCAAAATATCACAATTTTTCTCTGCCATTTCTAGTGCACAATGTGCCGCTTTGTTGACTCTGTATACACACGTAGGTACTATATTATGCAGCACAATTGATATAAGAAAAACGGTATTAGAAGAGAATAGTTTTGCATTTATTGTATAACTTTCAAAAGTAAACTATCAAGGTTAGGGCGGTACCTTGTGGTACCGCAACGGTGGTTCGGTTATGTTGTATTAATACGTTTATTTATTATTCCTGACGCGTAATGCCATTTTTAATTGCACGAGCGAGTACCAAATACGGTACGATTTTTATAAACCACGTAAATATTCGACGCACCGATGGTACCGGGATATTGTTTTTGTCCGAATTGAAGCGAGGAGATTTTGCGGGCATGTGTCAATGAAATAAACAATGGGTACTTACTATATTGGAACATTTAGTCATTAGTATGTGGTCAATGTATCAGCCCGAAAAAAGAATTTTTTGGTCAAAAATAACTGAGTAATGAGTAGTACTTTGTATGCGATATACCTGAAAAATCTTTGTTGTCTGATGAAAAAAATTGAGTAGGTATAGTCGGTGCAAAACAAATCAATGCACGTCACTACTGTCGTCATACTTGCCAAGCATTGTGTCCAACTTTTAAAAATAAATACACAAAATAGATTAAGCTTAATGCCTGCAGAATTCAGTTTAATATTGACAGGGGATGATAGAAAATGTTAAAAAGCAGAATTAAATCATCCAATAAAATGTTTGTATATTATAAAATTATTATTTTCTTATAGTAGGTTGGTAGGCACTGACTGTCAAGTTGCATAGTTGCCGTTGTCATTCGATTGGTACTTTAAATTTTTAATTTCTTCTTCTATTTTCTAGTTTACTTGCCTCAATAACTATACTAAAGGCTATTCAGCCTAATAATCAAGAAATAAGAATTTTTTGCGTAGTTATCTTATCCACATGTTAGAAATGACACAATTTGAGCTCTAAATAATTCAGATTCAGAAAATTTCTCAGAAATTTTACTATGTACTCTTTTAAGAGTCAATATTGTATACAATTAACTCACGAGGAACGTAAACTCACTTTTTAAAAAACGAAAATTAACTTTTATTTTGGAAACTACAAATTTAAATCCCGACAAAAATACTACGGTTCTTACTACTTTAACTGAATATGGCAAAAAGCTCGATTCCTAGACGGATCCTCCTATTTATGCGACTAGGGAAGTCTAGTCGGCAAAAATAGTCGCAACGTCGTCAAAGGCGGTGAGATGATTATACACTAAATTTTTTACTCACACTGTTAAATATATTTCAGATGATAAAGGAATTTGATGATTAATTATAGTGAGTCCCTGAATACTTCCGCCGTTTAGAAACGTGAAACAGGTACCCCTAATTTTCAATTTGTTCTCGTCATTTTGCCATTTGAGAATTTTAGAAAATTCTTAGATTTTGTAAACTCTATAAAAGTTCGGCAACACTGCCTACTTGTGACGTAGTAAATTATAGGTGACGTGCATTGGTATTTGTTTTGCATCGACTATACTTACAAGTCAATTTAGATTCATTTGACAGTGATTTACGGCAATCATCCTGTATAAAGTGCAATCGATACGACAGAAGCAACGATTTAATAGAATATTTCGCTAAAACTTTCGCCGCAAAACAGTTTGTTACAAAATTGTGTATTATTAATTCGCCACACGAAAATTACGCAACGATAAGTTTTGTTGGAGAAATATAAATTCACGAGACTAGGAAATTATCGATTTTGCTTTCGAATCGACGATCAGGAATTTTTCGTTTTATTAATAAAATTTTCGATACGGGTTATTGTGATTTACTCATTGTATTAAGTAATTTTTCGCATGGAGGAAAAATCAATATGTGGATGTAATATTTGCTCAAATCATTAATATATCTCGTATTGTAATTTTGTGGTTTTTTTTATTGATAGGATGTTTGCAAAAATTATTTAAGTGATTATAAATACCGAAAATTCTTCACATTATTACCAAATATTAATATTTTAAAATGTATACATAGATAAACCTATTGAAAATCCAAATTTATTCCAAATTAATTATTTTAAAATTCTTCAACAAACCAATAATAAAAAAAACCCCTCTTTAATACTGGATTCATATAAACACTGTGTATTTACCTAACCATTAGATCAATAAAAGTATTTCAATTCTCTTAAACAAACCGATGCTGTAACATCTTCCTAACCTTCAACCAACCGATTCAAAGGCCACTCTTCATTCATCTCCACCTGTACCATCAAGTTCAACGTGCACGGATAAATCCTTCGCAAATAAACCAGACATCAAACAAATAATAAAACCACACCCGGATTATTTCATACGACCCACTTTTGTCGCCTGAAAATCCGAACCATCCTCAACTACGACCGGGCGATCTAGATTTTAACGCTAGATTAAACCCATTACAACAACAGGTATTTCTACAAGGACCGATTAATCGCGTACATTTAATTATAATACACCATATAGAGAGAAAGCTGTAGGTACTTATTATTGTAGTGACTTCATTTAAGTAGGTAGTTTTTATTTAATTAAAAGTTGGTAGCCCGACAAAATAACAAATCGTCGTTTGTAGCAAATAAACGATATACAGTGACTTCTTAAAGTCTTCGTACCCACGTGACTTTTTGGGGAAACGTTAGGCAACCCTAATTAATGTATACAGAAAAATTTAAATCGCTAACTATCAGTGCATAATATTTTTTTACTCAAATACCATGGGAGATAGAGGTCTTTTGCAAGAGACAAAAAATGTTCCAAATGAATACAACTTTTCTTAAAAAAAATTGAGAGACCAGAGGCGGCGAACAATGGCTCTTCAATTAAAATAGCTACATACCCAATTTTAGGAAAATCGAATGAAGCGTTTTTGAGTTATTAGAAAAATTTGAAAATTTTCTTTTTAACTTTGAGGCTCCCTCACAGGCAAACAAAGCAGTTTAGATGTAGGTAATTTTGGCTCAATAATCGACTTATTTTAACCCCACCAACACACAGTAGCTCTGTGTACACGAAATTTTGTGACACCCCTTATATCATAATTGCTTATGTTGTTGTCGTTTTCCAGATGGTCGGGTTGAGGTTCGTGGACAAAAACCTGAACAAGGCCTTCTTCAAGCTGGGTCTGTTGGTGGGCAAGCACCCGGGCTACTTCCTGCTGGTGCCCGTCTTCCTCACGCTGCTCGGCATGACCGGCTACCAGCAGATGCACAACAACATCGATCCGGAGTATCTGTTCAGCCCGGTGAACGGGGCCGGGAAGTACGAGCGGAACGTGGCGGAGAACTACTTCAAAGTGAACTACAGCGGCAGGTTCAGCGTGGCGAGGATAACTCGAGCCGGTGAGGATAGTATACCTATTCGTGTGGATCATATACCTATTACTACTATACCGCTTATAATGGTCTAAAACCCGTAGCAAACATTATACTGTGGTGTGCCTGCTTATTTATGCGCATGCTCAAGTGAAAGATTTCTTGATTGGCTACTTTTGACAGAGCAAATGAAACGTCAGAAACGTGCTAGCTTTTATTTTGGTATATTTTTTGATATATTTTTAAAATCGACTTTGACTTGCCTGTGTAAATATGTCAGGTTACCGAATTTAAACACGATTTCAAGAATTATTTTCCTTCTTTTATTTTTAGGCCTCAGCTACTCGCTATTGGTCCTTTTAAAATTAACGCGCTTGCGTATAAACGACTAAGCACACCATAAAGGGTCGGATCTCTCTCTTTAATCGCTACGATTTTCTCTCATGGAATAGATAGGGAGTTAGCAGTATATTAGTAATAGGTATATGGTGTGGATTATCCAGCGGGATCGGATGGTAGTGGTGAAAGCGCGCCGTGAGGTTATAATATGTGCCCCGGGGGGGCAGTGGAGCGTGTAATTTATGTTTATATTTGTTGGTCGACGAAGCGCGTCGATTTGGTATTAATAAATCGCTGCTAGAAATTGCTTATTATTATGGGAAATCTGCCGAGAATTTTCATATAGTAAGACGATGTGCTAAAAAAATGTGTTTATTATACCTATCAAAGTGTGTCAGTTGAACGATTTCTTTGTAGATATAGTTTTTTTTTTATAAAAAATAATTACACTTTCATTGAAGTAGGATGCAAAGTATAATCGAGCTCGCGTAGCGAGTGAGACCATGAATTAGCAAGTACAATAATTTTCTTCAAGTTCGTAAAGTGAGCTTTCTTTGTACACACGATATTTTATACACACTTCGTAATTATTACAAATATTTAATATTACAAATATTTAAAACATTTTTTAAATTTTTTTACCAGTGACGTCCGTACGGGATTTGACATGAATATGTTTGAAGTTAAAATGGTACGCCACTGCTTTTTCTAAAAACCAAAATTATTTTTAAAATCCTTATTTATTTTGGAGAAAATTCGGTCCGACGACTTACTTTCGTACGACGCACCATTTTCGCGTAAAAAAATAAAAACCCAAACAATTTTTTCCTAAGTTCATTTTGAGACTGCTTTTGATATTTTGTTGAAATTTGGTAGGCGCCCACCATGCATGGAAACACTTTTTTTGGGGACAAAAATTAATTTTCTACTATTACCAGTGACGTCCACGTCGGAAATTTCATAAAAATATCCATTTAAAATATTCATATAAATAATAAGAAAATTATGATAGAAAATTTATTTTTTCTCTAAAACTATAGCACCTTGTAGCTCGAAAATTAAGAGGTTTAGCACATAGTATATTGATATCAACTTTTCTTCTTGAATCACCCATATATTCACATCCTAAAGTACCAGTACTCCTTTAATTAACACTCTGTATGTGAAATTCTATTAGAGTCTTCTAATCCAGAGAATTCTAAATTTCTAATAGATACTATACTACATCTACATCTTAAATACTACATCTAAAATATTTTAGAGTCAATGTAGACTCATGAGATTATAATTAGTCGTGTTAGACAGAGAGCAGAAGTTTCCCAATTTGTGGTTTGAATTTCCCGCTGATCTCCGAACGATTTGTGTCCATTTGAGCGTCGTTTTACGAACAGTTAACCATTTCGCTCACGTAACTATCATTACTGATAATAATTTCAGCTATCCAGGTCGTTTTGCAAGGTTGATCTTAACCTCGAAACGAATCGAAAAAGCGTTTAGATTGCATGAAAAATCGTTATTACGTCTTTGTAAACTTCTAATTTCTAATATATACTATTTCCGAGACACGTTTAAATATTTATGTGGACTCTCTGTTTTCGTTAAATTCGGATTTATATTAACATATCTTTATTTATTGTCCTTATTCAATATACCTGTTCCTAATGAACTTCTTCTTCCGCGTTGAGCCCTCACAGCTTCTAATAAGGCCTTAAAATAATGAAGCTTTTTAATGACATAATTTCTTAATTTCTCAAAAAGTGCCACCAACTTATATGGCTGTTAAAAAACCAGTAATATTACCATTTTCCCTAAACTTGTAACAGTAGGTAACTTTTACCATGAGGTTATCTTTACAAAAAAAACCATATTAAAAACATGTTCGGTAAATTTTTGAGTAAATATTTTAATTGATTCCTTTTTGTATACAGGGCGTTTTGGAAGAGTGATACTGACGTCCAAAGACGGCGATAGAAATATGTTAAGGGCGGATATATGGAGAGAATTGCGGCTGTTGGATGGTTACATTCAAAACATGACGGTTTTTTACGATGAAGAATATTTTACTTACAACGATATTTGCGCCAGATGGATGTCGGATTGTTTCATTAACGACATATTAAATTTGGATTATATCATAGACGATGTAAGTACATACATTTATTATTCATTATTTCCTGCAAATTCACTGTGCTATAATATACCGTAAATACATAGCGTTAGTAATTAAGTTATTCCGGTAATTAACCAATTAATTAAAATCGATCGAGATATTTATCGAATTTACCCGCGAGTTATCGACCAGTTCCGGATAATTTCCCGAATAATCGTCCGTGATTCGAAAAAAAAAAACACCAAGGTTCTCTTCAAGTTTAAGACTTGGTTTCTGTATAATGTGTCGGTTAACTGTAAAATATTTAATTACAGGTAAACATAACTAGAACGATTGTGAAATTATCCAATTATACACCTATATCACTTCAATGATTCCATACGTAACTATAAAATACCGGATTATGTACGGATAAATATACAGGATGTCCCAAAATATGTACAATCAATCTCCTAGATTCGGATAAAACACAACACGACATTTTTTCGTTCACATTCACTCGAGAAAGTGTAAATATTAATTCACAACGCGCTTATTGCCTATTATCATTAATACTGACCCCGTTATCTTAGCAACAATGTGCACTCGCCTTTTGTAGGCGTTCGAACTAACTCTCACGGTAATGTTATGCAGTGAATCTTTTTAAAATATACGAACCTTGAACTTAAAAGTGTGTTGTTTTCTCTAAAATTTTAATGAGCGATCGCCGTGAGAGCAATGAAAATACCGCGCGTTATTAACTAGTAAAACATCCTATTAACTGCGCCGATTTATCGATACGTTCACCTCTGGATTAGCCGCAACTTTGACGTTGTAACGTTAACGTTATTTCTCTCGAAATGTATAATATAGGCGCGTTTTTTTTTTTGGTTGCATAAAGAGGAAATGGCCGAGCGGGCAATTGCACGTTGACGTTACGCAAACTTACTAACTAACTCTCAGCGTTTTGTGTCTCCTATTAGAACGCATGCAATTTACAATGCGAGCATTTCCTACGATTACGCGTAATGAGGTTTTAACCGAAAAAGGCGCCTCGACTTCGCGTACGGTGAAAGTAAACTTTATAGATAAATTCGCGAATGATCGGGTCTCGAAGAAATGGTTTTTTCGAGTCTAAGGGTTGATTTTCAGAAGCTGTTTGAATATGCACTTTTATACAAAGGTACCAGCAAATATTTTTATTTATTATTTTTTATTTTTAATTTTTGTGTATCAAAATTTTAAAAGTAGTTTTTCGAGAAAACGGTTCACTCTACGGAAAATCAACAAGTATCGTATACCATTTTTATGTAAAAAACTTCATTTTTTCACATTCTTTAAACAAATCGACAGAAAAGGTTAAAATAAAAAAATTAGGTTAGATTACCCCATGAACCCCCCATTTTAACCCACCCCTGGACAACTTTTTAACCCGATTGAATAGTACCATAAGACATTTCATTTGCTTAGTATGTGTACCAAATTTCATCATTTTACCTTTACTCTTAATGAAATTATTAATAAAAATAACTTTTCAAGAATCCATTTTTAACACCCTGTATACTGATAACCAATGACATTTCAATAAAATGACATTTAAGTTTTTGTCATATTTTGAGTTTCTCTATTTGCTCCCAAAGTTTGACCACTTATTTCAGAAACACCCTGTATAACAAAAAAAAATAACACAAGTGACTGAATGAAAAAAATCAAAAAATTCCAAAAGTTTTCCATGTTTTTGATATTGCATAATAGTAATGTTTATTTTATTTTATTAGTGCCACTAAGTATACAGGGTGCTTCCGGGATATTAAATAGATACTAAAAGGATATATCATAATTAAGAATTTATTACTTACAATAAAATTAAAAACGTCTTTCATTGTTATCTGAATAAGTACCGCATACTACCGGCAATTTCTTACAAATAATCATTAGTTGTTGATTAAATTATTGATTCAATAGTATATAACGTATAGTATATATAGTATATATAGTAATTATACCTACTTTCTATTTACTTGTTAGCGCGCCTATGGTTTATTGCTCCAAGACGGTGATATTACTATCACTTGATAGCGAACGGAGTATAATTAAAGATTACATATGTAGAATGCAATACCTATAAAGAAACTCCCCGTAATAATTAGGTACCTTCCTGTCGAAGAACTCGATTGTGCACGAGTGATGACACTACCTCCTCATAGGAGTGAACGGAGTATAGTCGATTTTCGAATAAATTTTCTTTTCGCAGGTGGAAAAGAAAACTCTCAATCTAACCTTCCCGTTGATGTTCAATCCGGTCACCTGGGACGCTCACGCCTTTCCCGTATTCTTCGGAGGCAGCGAAGTCAGCGAAGACGGATTCATCATCAGCGTACCGTCGGTGCAATTGGTCTACTTCGGCAACGCCGATACCAAGAAATACGATAAAATGTAATTATTACTTCAAATTATAATATTACTTTAATCACAGTATTCCCACTTAATTGGTGATATTAGAGGTCCTTTATCGCAACTCATATACAGGGTGTTTCATAACTATGGGGTAAAATTTCAATAAGGGTCGTAGCGCCTTAGGGAGACATTTCTGGACATGGGTTCTTATGCTCAAACGTCTTCTTTATTCGTTGCACTAAATAATCAATAAAAGTTTATCCTATACTTCGGAAACACCCTGTATTATACAGAGAGTATAAAAGGTCCTTATAAGTACGATCTAAGCACCTAATAAAAGTGTAAGCAAGATATACAAAACGTTTCAAAAAAACATTTTCTTATAATCATCCAGAAAACTCTGTATCTATACTGCTTCACAAAAGTTAAGGAAATCCACAAATATTGAGATTAATTTGAAAGTTGCAGGTTTTTTGATCGCCAAATTTAGTATGAGTTGTAGAGGTAGGGACAAAAAATCCACTCAGATATGAGAGAAAACATTTCATTTCGCATATTTGAAATTGTGGTGATCAAAAAGGCTGTAATTTTTAAAATAATCGCAAAATTTGCGAACTTCCTTAACTTTTGTGGAGCAGTCTTTATATTTCTCCATAAAATATTTAAAATTAAGGAACAATCTGTATACTTAGTACCTACTTGTAATATATTTGGTGATTTGTTTGCTATAGGGGTGCTGCGTGGGAAGACGCATTTCTGGACCTGATAGAAAAGCTTCAGGATAAGGATAATGTGTTCAAACACATTAGAATAGCCCGATTCGCTTCCAGGACTCTCGATCACGAATTGGAGAAAAATACACAGTCGGTACTGCCTTATTTCACCTCGACTTTCGCTATCATGGCTATATTTTCTATAGGTAAATATTTTAATATTGATTAGTGTACAATATTTATAGTATTAGTAATTTACCGAAGGTATTAAATAAATAAATTATCATAAATTTTAATAAATTTGCCGTACCTGACATAAATGAAACGTTATTATATACCAATAGCGTTAATTAGTTTAGCATTCATTTCATTTAATTAATTCCTCTCGAAATTGAAGGTGTAGTTATTTAGACAAATTTTCTTGACAGATTTTTTTATAATATTTCTAATAAAATATTCCATATTTTAGTAATTTTACATTTTAGGACAGAAAATTAACATTAGAACTCTTCAACATTAAGAATCTCTAACTTTACATTAGTGAAGCAAGATATTTAATTCACCAATAAAAATGCAATTTTCTAGTGACTTGCAAGATATCTTGCATATGCATATGCCTAAACTCCTCTGTTATTCAGCACTTCCTTTCAGAGATTTTTTAACTTTAAGAATTTCTAATTTCTCATTTGACGAAGCAAGATATTTAAATTACCTTTAAATTAAAAAGAAAACAATTTTCTAGTGACTTGCAAAATACTTAAACTTCTCTGATACAGTCTGCACTTCTTTTTAGAAATTCGTTAACTTTAAGAATCTCTAACTGCATATTAGCAAAGCAAGATATTTAAATGACCCATAAACTTATCAGTAACTTGCATGATGATTAAACTCCTTTGTAATTCAGCACTTCTTTTTAGAGATTCTTATAGTTTCTTTAAGTTAGAGATTAAGGAAGAACGCAGAAAAACTTAAAAAGAAGTTTAAAGAGAACTTTAGAAACTCTAACTTAAAGAATCTCTAACGTAAAGAATCTCTAACTTCAAGAATCTCTAACTTCAAGAATCTCTAACGTCAAAAATCTCTAACTTAAAGAATCTCTAACGTCAAAAATCTCTAACTTCAAGAATCTCTAACGTCAAAAATCTCTAACTTAAACAATATCTAAATTAATGTTGGCGAAACAACAAATCTACAGGACACAGGACCTATTAACTTAAAAAAAACCGAATTTTCCAGTGACTTGCATGATGTTCGATTCGGTGCGATCCAAACCGTGGCTGGGCCTGTTGGGCAACCTGAGCGCCGCCATGGCGACGCTTTGCGCCTTCGGCGTCTGCATGTACGCCGGCGTCGATTTCATCGGCCTCAACCTGGCCGCCCCCTTTCTCATGATAGGCATCGGCATCGACGACACCTTCGTCATGCTGGCCGCCTGGCGGCGCACCTCCATCAAGATGAGCGTGCCCGAGAGGATGGCCCACATGCTGAGCGAGGCCGCCGTCTCCATCACCATCACCTCCGTCACGGATTTCTTCAGCTTCTGGATAGGGATCTTCAGCCCGTTTCCTTCGGTCACCATTTTCTGCATATACTCAGGTAAAATGGCTGTGATAGACTTGTAAAATCGAGGAAAGGTTTGCTGACTAGATGACGTAGATAATGCAGGGTGACACAGAAGTCACGCTCCACCGGGAATGGTCTTATGGAAACGACTATGGACTAGCCAAAACTGCAGCCGAAGACATGAAAAAGTTGATCTTTTGGTAAATAAAGAGGTTTAAAATCTACCAATCCCAGTAGCAGTTCACATAGATTCTATGTCCTTTTCACTTTCAAGGTTAACAAAAGCTGCCAAAATAAACTGCTTGAGCAAAGATTTGCTTCCAAATCGATTATTCAGGAGTTCCGTCGTGCTGATAACAAACCTACAGAATTTTGTATTGTTTCAAAAGTGGTTCGAATCGAATAATCCATTTTTTGATCGATTTGAAACCAATAAATCTTTGATCAATAGTCGCAGCTGATTTTGGCAGCTTCTGTTAACTTTGAAAGTGAAAAAAAAACATAGAATCTTTCAATAATATCAAATTGGTCTATAGCTAATTCACGTCATTTTCGTGGTTTTGAATTGCTACTGGTATTGTGGGATTGGTCAATTTTAAACCTCTAATTAAAAACTTTTTCATGTCTTCAACTGCAATTTTGGCATCTTTATTGTCGTTTTCATAAGGCCTCTCCCAATGGGGCGTGAGTTCTGGGACACCCTGTATTGAACAATCCTTGGTAGATTATATTTTCCGTGGATTATCGAATGTGGCATTTTTAGAAAAGAAGTATAGCTACTTGATTTTGTTGTTGACAGTTCACCATCACTTGATTGCGTCATATTAACTTGTGTGAGATTGAGCAATCCTTGGTACTTATTATGTCTTTGGATGGTGTTATTTTACTTGTAAATTTGAATTGTAATGTGCTATATTTTTTCTAGGTGCAGCGACTATACTTCTCTTCATCTGGCATTTGACGTTTTTCGCGGCTTGCGTGGCCATTTCGGGTTATTGCGAGCAGAAAAACCTGCATTCGATATTCTGTTTTAAGGTGTTGCCGAAGTCCAAATCGAGTAAGTAAAAATTCTATTATGTCTTTATGATTTATTTATAATTCATTAACGGTGTTCTAATAGCGCATCTTCCGTCTTCCGCTATTTCTATCGAACTGTAGCTATAACTTCATAAACCGAAATCCAATAGACTAAACAACAATCCCACTTACTTTAATAAGGAATAATCGACAATAGGTTATACAGGGTGTTCCCAAACATCGTGCACATACGGAAGGGAGTAATTCTTTAGCATGCTTAATGTTGAAATTTCAAGATTTTTCTTGTTTTTTCTTTACAGATACACACCTAGTTAACTGTAGTTTTTGAGATATTTAAGCTCAAATTTGGAATCTAGATTGCGTTATTGGGTATGTCAGATGGTTGTTAAATCTATAGGGTGATATTTTTTCAGGAGTCATGTTCCCTTTTCTCCCTCTAAAGTTTTTGCTGTGCGCCGCTGGCCGATTCTAAAATATTATAAAATTTATAAAATAATAAAATGTAAAAAAAATGAATTTTTTTCTGTTTTGTTCAGAAACTTTTTTTGGCAACGAAGCGTTTGCGGCCCTATGTTTTTATGAACTTTTAGTCGTAAAATAAACCCCAAAAGAATTACCCCATTCCGTATTGTGCACGATGTTTGGGAACACCTTGTATAGAAGACCTCGAAAAATTGCGGAGCGAACGAATCGAAAATAGAATGAAAAAAAAAAGTAGGCGAGCAGTGGCTATCTGCAGATGAAAGAATTCGAATTATTTTTTCCGCTGCACATCCGCGGTCCGGCAGCGCCGTTAGCGGTGAAAGTGATCCGGCAGCGGTTTTTGAATAATTAGCGTTTCAGGTGCTCGATTTTGTTATTACGCAATTTCAATGGGACATCAATGAGCAGTTTATACTAGCGTGCTTTACCGGCAGGCAGATATTATCGATCGATTAATGCGACATTTATGTGACGTGCATGATATATGTTTTTGTTATTCACAAGATTTTTATTTGCTAAATAATTGGTAGTAAAATTATTAAAAAAATTACTGGATTTGTAAATTACACTTTAAGTTAGCCAAGTTAGTCAGACAATTTTAAATGCCCTGTAATTGAACCATGAAAACTCAGTTTAGTTTCTTTTAGTACTGTGTCTGGACATTATCGATACCAAATTTCGACAAACTTCCAGGTGCATTATTGCCAGATATATCATAGAAAATGCATTCGACCGTTTTTCCAAAAAAATTCGAAAAAAATTAAATAACTCAAAAGTGGCGCATTTTTGGCATATGGTGTTATAATCATAGTCATAATCAGTTAATTATAATCATCAAGTCAGGTTAAAAAGAGCCAAAGAATCCAAAAATTAGGTCAAAAATGGTACTTTGCATTTAAAATAACGACGTTGATATCAACTTCCGTTATAACCGAAAGTCACATATGGTTGAAAATATTTTAGAAAAACTCACAACATTGATTACCCCTTACTCCTAAATTTTCAGATTTCTTACTCTTCAGAATGTCCTAACACTTTTAATGGGCGGTTTCCTTGAAAAGCACTGTATAATTAAAAAGTTCACTGTATTAATATAGGTTTGATTAAACAATATATTTTAGGCTCCCCTACGCACCCCTGCTCTGTATCAGTTCTTATGCGGAACACCCTGTATATCCAAAAACTATTGCAAACTTTGATTTTTTTAACACATCATTGCAAAATCAAAAATAATTCTGAAACAAATATTGCAACAAAAACTCCCTGTACATTACAAGTTTATCTTTACATTAAACTACCTATTTAACCAAAACCACCAATACCTACTACTCGAAATACTTAAAACCATCTTAAAACCCTTCCAGAGAAGCGCAACTTCCTCTACCGGTGGTTCTGCAGCGGCGGCGTCGATCCCGACGACATCGACAATCCCCAGGATAACACCGAGCACGGCGTCATGGTGTTCTTCAGAGACTACTTCGGCGCGATGCTCAACAACGGCTGCGTCAAATTCATCATCATCGTCGTATTCATCGCCTATTTACTGGGCGCCGGTTACGGCATTACCAAGATAGAAGAAGGCCTGGAGAGGCGAAAAGTGGCCAAACACGACTCGTACGCCATCGAGTTCTTCGACAGGGAGGACGATTATTACAGGGAGTTTCCATATAGGTATTGCTTTCTTTATAATCTTTTATTCGCTATTAGTAGGTTTGTTCCAGTAGAATGTTCAAATTGTTTGTATTAGTATTGTATTGCGCATGCCTTGATGTATACAAGTTCGTTATAAGATTGGAACATTTCTTGCTGGAACACCTCGAGCAGTTGTTGGGTATCCTGTAATGCGGAAATGTTCTTTGAATCCATTTTGCGAATATTGAAGAACGGTTTCCTCGATATCATTTTTATTTTTTGGCCTCTGCGTTTCTTACAACAATTCTTCAAAATCGTCTTCCGATAATTCATCATAACTAATCATAACTACTTTCGCTCGTAACTTCAAATAAGTAAATATACTGCTCCACAAAAGTTAAGGAAGTTCACAAATATTGAGGTTAATTTAAAAGTTGCAGGTTTTTTGATCGCCAAATTTAGTATGAGTTGTAGAGGAAGGGGCAAAAAAACCACTCAAATATGAGCGAAAACATTTAATTTCGCATTTTTGAAAATTTGGTGATCAAAAAGTCAAACTTTTAAAATAATCGCAAAATTTGCGAACTTCCTTAACTTTTGTGGAGCAGTTTAATTTCCATATTTTAAAACTAAATTGTAACTAAACAAATATTTATGACCAGTGTTGTTAAGTAATTAATTACAAGTAATTGAATTAGTTTTATTGTAATTGAGGCGGTAATTAATTACAAGCTCCTCAATTGTAATTCATTTGTAATTCAATTACTCCTTTCGTTACAAATACAATTACATTTTACAATTATATTTCAATTACATTGGACACAAAAGTATTTATTTAATATTTTCAATACGTGGAAAGTTTAATTCCGATTGCAAATCCCTAAATAATTACTTAAAACTGACACCAAAGCAAAGTAATTGTGATTGTAATTGTAATTGTAACTTTAATTGTAATTGTAATTACATTCGCAAATTTTGTTATTGTAATTGCAATTAATTACAATTTACCAAAAGTAATTGTAATTGTAATTAATTACATATTATAAAGTAATTTTAACATCACTGTTTATGACCAACAACAAACTGATAAAACCATACTTATTTTCGAATTGTTCTAAATGTTCTCACTTCAAATGAGAACAGTTTGGCAGATCTCAAACATAATCCAATCAAAAAACGAATTCTGCTTGAACAGCAAACATTTACTCAGAACATCAAATAACACACTGCTGTCTAAAAACAAAGTTTTAAAATCATTGCGCATGCTCACAATGTTCGTAACAACACAAAACATGCTGCTGGAACAAACCTAGTGTTTCGTGATAGCTATTTAAATTATGATTGCATTAATGAATTGAAATTTGTAGAGTGCAAGTGATCGTCAGCGGTAAATACGACTACTCGGATCCGAAGGTGCAGGCCCAAGTGGAAGAGCTGACTCAAACGTTCGAAAATACCTCGTATATATCGAACACTTTGTATACGGAATCGTGGTTGAGGAGTTTCCTGCAGTACGCCCAACGGAACCAGGATTACTTGAATCTCACCATCGATACCAAGGAAGGGTTCGCTAAATCTTTGAAAGAGGTGAGCGACAAATCACCAATAAATCTAATGGAATTTGTTACAAAATTCTCTCACAAACATCTCTTATTTCCATTTGGTCTACACTATTTATAAGAATATTTTAACATTCGATGATTTTGTCAATGATGTAGAGCATATTTTCACCTCATTGACTATGAAATTTGAATTATTGGCAAAGGTACATCCTATAGAATAATTCTCTGGACTTTGTAGTTGTGGTTAGCTCCGAGCAGCTCCTTCTCCTTGGACGTGAAATTCGACGAAAGCGGCGACGACATAATAGCGATGAGATTTCTGATACAAGCTGTGAACATATCGGGCACGGAGCACGAGAAGGAAATGGTCAGAGCCCTGAGGCAAATATGCAAGGATTCGCCGTTGAACGCGACCGTTTTCCATCCGTACTTCGTCTATTTCGATCAGGTAAATTACCCGACAATAAATATATTCTCCAGTTTTTTTTTTCTAATAGGGTAGTTTTATTAATTTGCTTTGTGTTTTAGTTCGAATTGGTCAGGCCTCTGTCTATACAAAACATGATAGTTGGAGCCGGTATTATGATGTTGGTCACGTTTATTTTCATCCCGAACATACTCTGCTCATTTTGGGTGGCGCTTTCCATAATATCCATAGAAACAGGGGTTATTGGATACATGGCGTTGTGGGGTGTGAATCTGGATTCGATTTCTATGATAAATCTGATAATGTGCATAGGTAAAGTTGAATTTTGTTGTACTAATTTAGACAGTCTGGAAAGTCTGGAATCTTTTACGAGATGGAAAAGGTTAAAAACCTTGAAATTACGTTTATTCTAAAATCAATGAAAGTGGTCAAACTTTAGAAGCAAGTAGAGAATCTCAAAATATGACTTAAATGTCATTTTATCGAAATGTCTTTGGTTATCGGTATACAAGGTGTTAAAGATGGATTCTTGAAGAGTTATTTTTATTAATATTTCATTAATAGTAAAGGTAAAATGATGAAATTTGATACACATACTAAGCAAATGAAAGTTTTCTCTATAAAAAAAGTATAATTATTGATTTTCCATAAAGTTTCGTGTTCACGAAAAATGACTTTTAGAATTCTACACAGAAGTACACAAAATTATTAAACTATTGTCATCTTTAAAAATCTAATAATGAATTCTCTCAAAAACTTGATATTACGTTAAAATGACATTTAAGTTTTTGTCATATTTTGAGATTCTCTACTTGCTCCCAAAGTTTGACCACTTATTTCAGAAACACCCAGTATATTCACACAGAGATTCCAAAATTTAACAAGGCAAACTTGTTTTGTCGACAATCAGGACTTTTTAAAAAGAATAACTTTTCTTCATAAAGCCAAAAACAACGATTTTTTCCTCCATTCAACTCCCTCCAGGGACACACTGTATATGATGTATTTTTCTAGGTTTTAGCGTCGATTTCACCGCTCACATCTGCTACGCTTACATGTCCTCAAAGGCGAGAACTCCCAACGAAAAAGTCAAGGATTCCCTATACGCGCTGGGGCTGCCAATATTCCAAGGATCGATCAGTACCGTACTGGGAATGATGGCTTTGCTCCTAGCCAATAACTACATATTTTCCGTTTTCTTCAAAATGGTGTTCCTGGTCGTTTTCTGCGGCGCCATGCACGGCCTATTTCTACTTCCCGTATTACTTTCCCTATTCGGACCGGGTAAATAAAACAAAACCCAAATCATCTACAAGGTGATTAACAAATCATTCAACAGGATCCTGCAGCAAGTCCTCCCCCGAAGACGACATCAAACTATCGAAAATCGAGCAGTCCCTGCCGCATCCCTACTGCATCCCGCACCCCCAATTCACCCTCAACGGCAACAATTTGAGCGCCGCCAAGAACGCCACGCCGGTCCTGGAGCGCTACGCCAAGAAACCGCACGCCTCCAAGCTCTATCCCGACGCGGACAAGGACCTGGGGCTCGGCACGTCCGAGGAGAACTCCAGCGAATCGTCCATACAATCGCACAAGAAGCACCCGATGGACGACGCCGCCCTGGAGAGGCGGTACCGCGACGCCTGGAGACGGAGCTCCGAGGCCGCCATCGTCGGCTTCAGGAACTCCCAGGTGCTGGACATCTTCGGAACCGATTCGGAGGCTGAATACTACAGGTAACTGTACAGTTCGAGCGTAAGAGTTCTCTGCAATAAAGTATGTAGAGTAAGTGCGCCATGTACAGGGTGTCTAATAAGTTGGTACATTTTTTAACTATAGATCTTTTACTTCTATAAGCAATTCTTTTAAGTAATTTTTTTTAATATTCTGGAAAATAAAAAAGATGGAAATTTTTTAAATGTTTTTTAAATTTTGAATAAATTCCAATACTTACCTGCCATTACCATACTGGTGTCAAAAAATAATAAATAATTAATGACAAAAAATTAATTCTTTGATTGTTGAATTGAAAATGGCTCGTTTTTATACAAATAATGAGTTGGTGGACATTCCGATTATTTATGGAGAGTGTTTCCAAAGCGTTTCCAATCAAAATGGCGACAATTTTGAGCAGTTCCTTTAACTTTTAATGAACAGGGCCGTATTAAATAATTTTTAATAATGAAAAATTGAAAAGATACAGCTCTCTTATTTTCCAGAATATTAAAAAAAATTACTTGAAAAAGTTGCTTAGAATTAAAAAAGTTAAAAAAAAGTATCAACTTATGAGACACCCTGTATGCACCACCATAAGCACTTTTCTCAATAAAAAGTCGAATTTTAAATTTTAATCAGCTTTATTTATATTAAACAATTCCTAAACCATTAAATTAAGAAAAACTTATAATAAAATTCTCCAAAAAATCAAAATCTTTGATATAAATAACATTTTCTAAAGTATATCATTTTTATGAACTTTCAGAAAGTGAACATAATATGGACCACATCCAGATTTTTCCATTTCTGGAGTATAATTGACTAATTCATCTTCCAATTCTCTCGGTAATGTTGATTGTCTCCCAAGTTTTTGGTTGGTGATATCATTAAATGATTTGTTTTGGGCTTATGTTTTGGAAGAATTCAAAAAGCCCATTTTCTTTTCCGTGAATTTTTAATTGCCTCCGCCATTGCGTTTTTTATCTTAGGCTTGTCTGGTCTTCTCTATTGTTTTAGAAGCAATTCTTGAACATAAAAATTAATTTTTAGCCATTCCATATTTAAAACGTGCCACTGGTCCATATTGTGATACTTACTCATTTTGAGATTTTTTTTTCAGAAAATTGGAATATTAATATTAATATTAATATAGAATATTAAAACTTAATACAATTAATTGCAACATGACTCACCTTCCTCATGGTCTTATCCACTAAATTCACATAAAATAGTATTTTTTGAATTAAAAAACTTCCAAAGTTCGCTAAAAAATTAGATCAAGCGTTGCAGAAAACTAAAATAAGGCTGTCGTAAATGTACAGTGTGTCCCAAAAAGTTGTATACAAATGGGAAAAAAGTTTATCGTACATTTAAAAAAAATATTCTTGATAAAATTCTCGGCATAACGTATAGATCCATAATCAGGAACAAAATGTTTAAAAAATGTTCATTATGCATAATAATCAGGAACAAAATGTTTAAAAAATGTTCAGTAGTTATAGCTATACCAGTTCTAGACCACTTTCGAGAGAATGGCCTAGAATCGGTATAGAGTTTGAGGTGGTCTAGAAATGGTACTGCATTTCGAGGTGGTCTAGAAATGGTATAGCATTTCGAGGGTAGATGGAAAAAATATCCAAAAAACGCTGGGCGGATTCGAACCCGGGTCATCCGGACCACAACGTTAAGCGCTTTACCAACTCGGCTACGCACCTACCCGAAGGTAAACGTTCAAAACGTTGATACCTTTCTGCCGATCGGCGCAGCGCTCGCTCGAGCGCTTAGATACCGGGGGCGCGTTTGGGCCTTTTGGCGCACAGGGGATGACGTCACGAGGGCCTCAGGGCGTTTAGATACCGGGCGCTTAGATACCGGGCGTTTAGATACCGGGCGTTTAGATACCGGCGCTTAGATACCGGGCGCTACCGCGCGGGCTCTTGGGTGCGCAGGGGTTCATGATGACGTCAATAACGTTGAACGATTTCGGTATGTCGTTTTAGCTTGTTGAAACTTGTTGGAACTTGTCTGACAGATCTAGTGTATGGTAAACAAACAAGTATAATGGGTTGAACGTATAATCAACGGATTTTTTTTTTAATAAAAGACTGCAATATAATTTTACATTTATTAAAAATTTTCCAAGTCATTTACAACCTTATGTTTATAAAAATATACATATTCCCTAAGTACATTACTTAATATATTATCTGCAGATGATTCACAAATAGCGAATAATAAATCCAATTTACTTAAATAAATATTATTTTGTACATTTGAACGTATGATATTAATGATATTTTTATAATACACACAAAAATTTAACTGCTCCAACATTGATATTCGATGTGATATTAAAGATCGGTTAATATTGATTATTTGATAAACATCATCTTGTGTAAGAGTGTAGACAATTCCATGCTTTTCCAATTGAAGTAATTTTACATCGTCACCAATAATTTGTACTACGGTGAAATAATCTCCGCACTCGATTGTATTATCAATGAAAGATGCATTGAAAAAACTTGTAATTTTTTCTTCGAATATTTCCATTAATGTTATCCATTCGAACGAACTAAAAGATAACTTCGACGATGATACACCTTGACGAACAAGGATGATTGCAGGACTAAAGGTTCTTACTGGACTTAATCCACAACTAATGTGATATTCACCAATGTCGTACGTGACATTCATTAGATAATAATTTTCATCTTTTGCGAGCATTTCATATTTTTCTAAAATCCGATCTAATTCTTCAGATGGATCAAAATCACTCATTGTTTCACTGTTTGAATCGTTTGACGTAGACATCTCGATCACAACTGAGATTTTGTTAAAATTATTAAATTTTATATTGTATCCCTTCTATACAACGTCGTTACTGTCAATCCAACTATTGTGTTTTTTATCAAAACCGAGCCATTTAACGTACATTTTCTTTCCTTTGCGACGTAATACCTTTTCAACTAAATAAATATCAGGAGTGGACGTTTTCAAAAGTTCTTGCTCGTAAAAACCACCTTTAATCGGAGTTCCATGTAAATCTTCCAGTATGTACGTTGTAGGATTCGTAATATTGATTTTAATAATTTTAAATAATTCAGTGGTCCAATTAGGTGTATATCCTTTTTCAAACATAGCCTTACTTTTGCTCAATCGAACAATATCACCAATTTTAAATTTTCGGGGGCCGGCAATTTTTATATGTGAATATTTATCTGTTAAAAGATTTTTCTCGTTGGATTTATTCACTTCTGACGGTTTAAGTCCTATGGACCGATGATGTGTATCGTTATACTCTTTTGTGATGGTCGGTAATACGTCAATCCAATTGTGTGTACCATTTAAAGTTAAATATTTATAAATTTTATTTTTCAATGTTCTTATGGACCTTTCAGCAATGGCAGCTTTGGTAACGCTGTACGTATTGTAATGATTAATTGAATATTTTTTCATTAAACCTTGAAACTTTTTGTTGAAAAATTCGGTTCCTTGATCAGACTGTAGATTTTTCGGTTTTCTTTTTGCTTGCTCAAGAATATTCGTAAACGCTCGCGTAACTTCATCAGCCGATTTCGTTTTAAGGGGATGTGTCCACATAAATTTTGAAAAGCAATCGATAACAACTAAAATCATTTTATATTTCTTATTTTGATATGCAAACGGATGCATCATTGCTACATCCATTTGCCACAAGTCATCAATTCCTTTAATAATAGTCCGACGTCTTCGAAAATTTTTACGAGCTTGTTTGTGTAACTCGTTAACGAGTTGAATTTTTTCTTTTGACATGCTTGCACTAATTATTCTTCCTTTCTAAGGCGACAACCCTTCGGTGTAGAGTTTTTGTTAGATAATTCAATCTTTCAAATGCCGAGTTTATTTTAGATGTCAACATCGATTGTAAATTGCTTTCGATTTTATCAACGTATTTTTTCGTAGCTGCATCATTTTCATCTGTTGGTTGTTTTACGTTACACACTCGTAAATTTTGCATATCAACATCACCCGAATTAGTATGTGGAATTGTAACTTTGGGAATAAAAGATGTCTTTGCACTGTCGACACGTTGACGACGTCCGAATTTGTCAAGACCCATATTGCAAATGATTCAAACACAGTTAAACTATGCTATAATATCTGCTTCTCTGAGTTCATTAATGATGGCGATTATTTCATTATCGTGCGAATTGTTACCGGCCTCTTTGGATGAAATTAAAAGTTTTAATCGATCTACAAGTTCGTTAATATCATCCCAGTAAATGTATTCGATTGGTTTCTGATTATAGGTTAAGGTTGAAAATCCACGACCTGTATGTGCCTTTGGTGCTTTTGGAAACATTGGTCTTATAATATTCATGTATTTATATCTGCTAGTTCCTTTTAAAGTTCCTTTTGAAGTTCGATGAACATCTGATAATTCTAAAAGAGTCTTGTAGGGTTCCAAATCCTTTTCATCGTAACTAGGATAATTGTAAAATATTAATTCATATAAACCTTTGGTGCCAGGCAATTGGGAAACATGATTATTTTCATTAAGTATTTTTATATCTCCGGTTTTAACATTAAAGTCTATACGTTTTTTACCCAACCACCACCAATCATTTTCAGGGTCATATATTGGACCGTATACGTTATCGATTTTTTCATCGTTTTTCCAAAAGTTCTTGACGTATTCTTTGCTTACTTCCGGATACATTTCGATATAAGACCTTATTGCGTCTTCAGATGGAACATCTTCATTTGATTTTGAAAGACGCTCATCAATTTCACTAAATTCCTCATCACTACGTCCATCGTAAGAAACTACACTTTCCATTGGAATATATTTTGTTGCTTTGGGAGATGATGATATAGACGGTGCAAAAGGCTCACTAAGTTTCCTGGTTTTAGGTGACGTATGTGGTGAGATAGATTTTTCTTCTTCTTCTTTTTTAATAAGTTCGGTCTTGGCAATTTTTTCTAATGGTTCCGAAATTGGTTTAAATAGTTTATTAATCGATTCATCTTGCTGTGCTCT